TGCACCCGGAGCTCAGGCTCCCGGTCAGGAGAGGTGGCAGACGCCGAAACGGGGTGCCAGCAGTGAGTGAGGCCTGCAGAGGGCCACGTGAGGCTCGGGGTTCTCCAGCCGGCAGCAGTGTCCCTCCGTGTCCTGCTCTCCTAACCAGCTGCTGCCACATGCTGCTGCTAACACCCAGCCCCCTCCGGAGCCTCGCCTCCCAGCCAAGCCCCCCCCAGGCGGGCAGGCCGCCGAGACCCAGCATGCGCGGTGGGCCGTGACCCTGGTCCCGCACAAACGTCCCTGGGCTCCCATGACTGTGGTCGGAGTCTTCCCTGTGCCGCTGAAATACATTAGGCCGTGCCACTCCCCTGGCTAAAATCCTGCAGTGCTTTCCCACGGCTTCTACAACCCCCAACTCCTTGCTATGCCTGGCAGAGTCCTGCACTGGGTGGCCCCTGTCCCCGCTCTGGCCTCATCTATGACCATCTCCTCCTTGAACGCACTGTACTTGTTCCCACTTTGCTTTGGCTCCTCCTTCAGTCTGGAATGCTCTTCCCCTACCTGTGCTCTCCCTCGGGTCTCAGCTCTAATGTCACCTCCTCAGTGAGGTCTCTGACCATCCTCTCTAAAGAAGCTGCCTCCCTGTCACTCTTTATCACATCGCCGTGTTTAAATTCTTCATATTCTTCTGCTTTCGTATTAATCTGTTCCCTCCCACTGTAATATACATGTTATGGGGACAGGGACCTTGTCTGTCTTGTTCTCCAGTGCAGGGAACAATGCTTAGCACGTGTGCATTTGCAAAATGAAAGGATAAATGTACATCTTGACCCTGGGAGAGGCCTTAGAGCAGCAGTGAGAGGGTGACCTCTGGAGTCAAGCCGCCTGCGCTTGAATCCTCCTTTTGTCACTTAAATTCGTATGTCCTTGGTTAGGTTACATAGCATCTTTTAATTCTATCACCTATCAGATGAGGACAATTCTATCACCTATCAGATAAGGACAATAACAGTCTCTCCTTTGTAGGGGGTATTGTCAGATGGCTAATATACTTAATGAAATGCTGGCCTGTGGTTAGCACTCCAAAGTTGTTGTTTTTGTTCTTATATACCCCACAGAGTTCATGGCCCATGACCCTCGATTTGCTCAACATACTCACAAATCATACTGTTACCTCCACTTTCTGGTCTGACATGCAAAGAGCTTGGAAGTAGTCACTTGTATCCTCGCAACAAGAAAAAAGAGCCAAACAAACTGAAAATCAACAGCTCCTCTCAAATCCATCAGGGAATTGAGGTCACAGGTAAACTGCTGCCCCCAAAACTACAGATATAAATGGGCAGCTACAGAGAATCACAGCCAACTAGAAGCAGAGGCCCAAAAGCAAAACCAGAAAGGGTAGGAATACTTTAAACTATCATTGATGAATTACTGGAGGCTGATTGTGGACAAGCTTGAAAATTAAAAACTCCTAGAGGGCTCAGTCCTGGGGGCTCCACACAGTCATGAATTTTTACCTCCAGAAGCCCAACCAGGTTCCCACCATGAATAGCTAGAAAAATTCCCTTGCTCTTCTGGCAGGAAAAGGAGAGAAGTAACCATTTTTAAGGTGAGCTCTGCGCAGAGCTGTCTCTTCCCCTTAGCAAGATCTGACCTCAAGAGAAACTACTTTACCAGGGCCCAACCAACTGGGTTTTACCGAAGCCTGACTGACCTCTAGGAAGGGAAACACTCAACTCAGGCTCACCACCAAGACTGAAACCCAGTCATGGGACTATAGAAGGCTTCCCCGTTATCTCCACACCAATAGGGCTCCTGTATGATAACTGGGGATTTCAACGAAAAGAACTGAAGGCCTTAATCTCTATTTAAGAAAAGGTATCTGGGAAAACCCAGAGACAACAGCAGAGAGACATCTTTTCAGACTAAAAGTACCTCCACCTTTCCCTTATAGTCTCCTACCCAGCACATACATCCTCCACAAAAGAAAGACCACGGGAATTTCAAATGTTTAAGTCCCAATTTTAAGAAGGTGATCAAGATCTTGTTTGCAGCATCTAGCAAAAGCCTTGCTGATCCTCATAGATAACTGTGGCATTTGTACATTTTGGCTAAAGACATTACCATTTTTAAATATATATATATATACATATATATTTTTAAAATTTAATCTTTATTGTTGAAGGTATTACAGATGNAAGACATTACCATTTTTAAATATATATATATACATATATATTTTTTTAAATTTAATCTTTATTGTTGAAGGTATTACAGATGCTCCCCTTTTTTATCCTATTGATCCTCTCCACCCCACACCTCCCCAGGCCTTCACCACACTATTGTCTGTGTTCCTGGGTTATGCATAGATGCATATAAATTCTTTAGTTAATCTCCCCCACCGCCACCTTCCCTCTGAGATTTGTCAGTCCATGCTTCCATGACACTGAATCTATTCTGTTCATCAGTTTATTAAGTTCTTTAGATTCCACATATAAGTGAGATCATGTAGCACTTGTCTTTCTCTGCCTGGCTNATCTTTAAAAACCCAGGGGGATATCAAAGGGAAACTAAATCAATGGCTCTGCATTAAGTCAGGGCTATATAGGTCAATACCCTAGACTGGCAGATCACAGCACATTTTTTACTTTCTCAGGTGATTCTACCTATAGTTAAGTAGTCTGGATCGACTGTATTCTTTCCCTTTGACACAGTTATGCATTGTATGAGAGCTGGCCCTATGCTGATCTTACAGATACCTCTCACTTAGGTCTAAGTGACATTGTTATAAAACCCCAGACCCATGGAGCACTGACATTTCCATTGGGAAACTGCGGGAATTCTAACAGATAGAAGGCTTCGTGAAGGCAAGGATTGTGACTGTGCTTGCTAATAATTAAACCCACTGTGCTTAGCTCATAGTAGGTGCTCACCACATAGTAGGTGCTCAATAAATATTTGTTGAATGAAAAAAATCCACCACAAATGTGGCCTGGAAGATGTAGGCATAGTTCAAATTTGATGATTTCTAAAAATACTTTTAAAAACTATTAATTCATTTAACAAACAATCACTGAATGTTTTCTATTTCTATATGATAGGTACTAAAATACAGAAATGAATGAGACGGTGTGCCAATTCTAATAAAGAAGAGGGGGCAGGATATTCTCTGAGTGCTACTATAATCTGGGCACTTTTCATTCATTGTTCCACCCAACAACTCTGTGAGGTAGGTCTCATTACCTGCCTCCTTTGCATTTAAAGGAACAGACACTTGCAGAAAGGCCCACATCTAGCAAATGGCAGAGCCAAGAATTTATTCCAGGACCTGGGCCTACAATGGACTTTCTCCCCAAAGTAAATTTAAACTCACCATGTGATGTTCTGTTATGGGATGTTTTGTTAAGGAAACTTAGCTTCTCAAAAACTGAGTTATAAACAAATAGTTTCACTGAGAAAGGAGGTTTAGGCTCTCAATTTCAAGTTATTTATGTTGGTAAAAGATTTCAATAATAGAGGTAAGCTTTATAATATACAAGTGTGAAACTGGAGGCTAATAATAATAAACTGCTTGAACAAAATAAATGAAAATTACTGAGTTAAGTCCTAAATAGCATCTAAGGCCTAAGTCAATAAGTTTCTAAATTATTATTATTATAACTCATTGTTATGATAAACAAAGCACAACACTTAACTAAGATGGTTCAAGTGAAAATAAAGTGCAGCATAGTTCCCAACGCCAGCGGTGAACAAAACATGAAACCAGGGAGCTGCCAACTGCTCCTTTGTACACAACAGCTCCTACCTTAGGACCCAGGTTCTAATTCCCGACTGTGCTTGAATTATAACCAGTAGGTATTCAGAATATGAATTGTGTTCCCTAAGCGATCTATTGTGTTAGATTCTATTTGCTTTATGAGTACTCAAACTGTAGGAGGGAGGCCTGAAATAGGGATTTGAATTCTTAGACACAAGAGCAAGGTAGACAAATGCTTATGGTCAGGATGTCTAGTAAGGATGGGAGGTCCATTGCAGAGGTGGCCACATGACTTGCATGTCTGAGGGCCACAGAGAGGCTCTTGGGTCACTTGTTTCCTTGGTCTCTAAAGCAGTTTTGAGAATTGATATTTCTCCCCAATGGGTAAAAATTCACTGGGTCTGGAATCATCTGCACTCATATAGGGGCAGAAACTTTGAACACAAGTGGTTCCCACTCACTCTGCTTGGATCTGATGAGGAATTGGGAAAACAGAGATCCATGATCAATCCAAAATTCCAGCAGCTCAGAAAGTGACCAAGGTGGTGGGAAATGGTCTAGGACCAGGATAGTCCTGAGGACAATGGCCCGGTCTTAGTGCAGTGGTGACCCTCTCTTACATTTTTATAGCTCCTTGCAATTTTCAATAGTTTCATAACAACTCTGGGAATGAAGCCACATTTGTATTTTTACAGATGAAGAAATTGGAGATGAGTAAGTGATTCACAGCTAGCAACTATCCGACTCAAATCCTGAGTCTTTTGACTCCTTATTGAATACTTTCCACTACAAACTTAGAGGGTGACCTCAGGAATATGTTTCATAGGAGGAATGGCTTTGTATCAGACCTGCATTTGCCTACACTAGATGTTCCATTTTTTTAGTCATATAATTTGGGTTCATTCTTTAACTTCATTAAGCCTTAGTTTCCTCATCTGTAAAATGGGAACGCACAAAACATTTAACGCATGGGGCTACTGTGAGGATCAAATGCAATATGCATAGAGCATACTCAGCATGAAACTTGGCTCTCATTAGAGCAGGACAAATGCAGAGGGTTCCACATATTGAGGGCATGGACTCTGGACAGAGGCATCTCCTTCCTCCTCTGTGGTTCACTGTCTTGAACCACAAAGTCCCCAGGTAACATTTTATAGTATGTAGAGCTACAAGGAGATAAAACTTGGGACAGGCAGAGAGTGCTTGGGGCTTGAGCACTGAGCCTAGAGTGTGTGTGGAGGAATGTGTGCTCCATCCCCACCTGGAAAGCCATGGAGTTGGCGGCAGCCAGAAATATCCTCAGAGGCAGCTTGGCCTTATAGGACCTGTGGCTCCACAAGCGATGGGCACCAGCTGTCACACCCAGCGCAGTCAAGAGGAAGCAGAAGTAGGCTGTAAGACACAAGCAGGGAGAATGTCAGCAGACATCACAGAGCTTTTAAACATCCCCATGCTTTTTTCCTCCTGAATAGGGACCCATGATGTCAGGGGAAGAATCTACAGTGTGAAGAATCAATAAGTTGGGAAAATGCAGACTTTTTATTGATTTGTAGCTTTCCAGTACCAGACAGAAGTGAAGAGAACTTTCCTCAAGAAACTTTGACCCTTGAACATCATTTTTTCCATGTCAAACAAATCTTTTATTTGCTAATGTTTCTTGCCAGTCTTGATGCAAAATCACAGCCACATTAATGTGCATTTCTAGTTCAGTCTTACACGTCCACTCTCAGTGGGACTGAGATGGATCTCTATTTGCCTCTTAATTGGCACCCATGCCAGGGTGAGTTATATGAAGAGCATATTTCCAAGTGTCAGTGCCCACTATCATGGCTCCATAGACCTTGGCTTGAAGGAAATCAGGCCAGATCTAAAAGCAATGAAGTCTGGCTCAGTGCCAGTAAAAAGAAACTGCCATCAGGGACAGCTGAGATTTCCCTTCTAGAGATCCTCACTTAAACCATTACTATGACCTGGGCTGGCAAAGACGGCCAGAAAAGGAACTTTTTAAAAGCTAACCTACAGTGGAGCTTATTATTATCACTAACCCTAACAATCTGCGTTACTGTCTCATTTTATGGTTGAGGAACTGGATCTCTGAGACTTGAATCCTACATGTAAACCCAAGTCAGCCTGGTTCTAAAGTCTCTGCCAGGACCCTATGCCACCCCAGGTGGTAGTGGTAGTTGCTCTGTGTATGGAGACATGGAAGAGGTTTATAAGTTCATGGTGGAAAGGGGACACACAAGGACCAAAAAACAATCATGATTCCTGAGATTATTACAACTACCATAGTGATTTTCAAGCAATGTGTCCATACAATGCAAAATATCTTCCTTGGATTATCTTATTAAAACACATCAAACAATCTCTTTGGGTTTGTCTTATTACTAGCCCCATTTTACAGATGAGAAAACAGAGGCTTAAAGAAGAGAACTAATTTCCCAATGTCACAAAGCTAAGGGATGTCTTTGCTAAGAGTCAAACACAAATCTATCTGAACCAAGAACCAAGTTCTCACCCTCTACAAGTCCCTTTGCTTCTGGGAAATACCAGGTAAGTTTTATGGCCGCTTCTCTGTACTGTCATCTTTAATATTGGATTCCAAGCTAAATTTAGAAGTGAGCTGCTTCCTTACTTGGAAATAGAGCCCTAAACCAAGCTCTATGTAGGTAGGATTGGACAGATTGTCCTACACAATTGCTTCTAGCACTTAGCACATTCAGGGCCCTCCTTAAAGAACCACCAAAGAACAAGTGATCAGCTGTGAGTACCTCCCCGAGCAATTGTGAATGGTCTAGATCAGGATGAATTCCCTACAGGGAGCCCATTGTAGTACTGGATCCCTTGAAAGAACTACTAGGGTAACTTCAGTGTTAATATACATACTTAAGGGAAGCACAACATTACTTTTTCCAAAAGTCTCGTCTGACTGATCTTGATCTCAATTCAAGATCAAGATCCAAGATCCCATGGGTCTTTTTAAAAATAAGCCTTCCCCTTGGCACTAAGATTAATGAGTGTCTGAATACATGTGGTTTTCATAGACTTGACAAATCATTCCTTACTTGAAAAGTTAAAAACAAAACTCAACAATATGCCCGTAAATCACAGAAAGTAGTAATAAATAAAAAGTTCTGGCCTCTTTTGTTAATGTAGTTTTACCTTGATCATAAGCCCATGAGATGGGCAGCTATTTTCCATGTCATCTCTGGCCTTCATGTCCCTATCAATAATTTTTTCTCAGCTGTAAAGTAGTTAGAGAATAAGTGAAATCTGTACTGGAAAAATTCAGTGTGACCCTATTTTGCCAATAGGCTAAGACAGTGGACCTTGGGTGCAATGAAATGAATTCTAAGACTCCATGAAAAACATTGGTCAAAAAAGAATTCCCCCAATCCACAGTTCCCAGGCAGGGCCTTATGACAGGCTATGGCACTGTGTTCTCCTTTTGGGGCTTTTGATTATTTCAGGGATCACTTACATGGTTGGTCTGTCCATGCCTGGGGAGAAGGGAGTGGTGACAATGGACTTGAGTCAGCCTGTACTGAGCAGCAGCTTTCCATGGTCCTTCTTCTGATAACAGAAATATGGCCATGTGGTATATATAGCATAGTACCCCGTCTTCCTGGCATTTGGACTAAAGACCTGACTCAATTCCTTTCTCTTCTGGCTGAAAAACTAAAGGTCACATATGGAGGCATGATTGCAATAGTATAGAATGAGGCCAGGAAAGGTTGACACAAATGATGGAGACGTCAACAAGAGCTTCAGAGAGAGCTGCCTGCATGGAGCGACTGGCTGCAGGCCCTGGAGCTCTACAGTTCTTCTTTTGGTCCTGTGAGCCTCCCCAGTAGTTCTCCTAGTTATATAAAACAAGTTCCCTTTTCTTGTTTAAGCTAGTTGACACTGGATGTCTGATACTAAAATTCTGCAGAACCTCTAAGGAAGAAAGCAACCTCTGGTCATAGCCAAAACAAGGAGAGACTACAAAAACCTTGGGTTGGCTATGAGAAATTACGGGCTGTTCCATTAACAGGACTCAGTTTTCCATTTTGATAAAGCTAATTTGAGAGGCTCCTAACCTCTCTTCTATGATCTTTGTGGAGATTAACACCCAAACTAGTTTTTGATGGATGCTGGCCAGCCAGCTCTAAGGTCGTCAAGTATTCAGACAAAGAATTGATAACTTTGGGTAGAAAAGGAGTGATTAGCAATGTTAATCGCTCACAGATAAAGGAGCTAGATCAACAGAAACCAGATTCACAAAAGTACAGAACAAAAAGTAGATTCATTTGGCCTGGTGCTGGCAGGGGGAGAAGGGAGTGACTGCTGATGGGTACAGGATTTGGGAGTAAAGGGTGATAAAAATGTTCTCTACTTGACTTTGGTGATGGTTGCACAGTTCTGTGAATATACTAGAAACCAATGAATTGTACGCTCCAAATAGCTTGGTTGTATGGTGTAAGTTATAGTTCTATAAAGTAGTTATTTAAAAATTACTGAATTCCTATTAGATTTTGCTATCATGCATAATTTCTCAGTGTAAAATAAAATAGACATGTCACAAAACAAACAAAAATCAACCATGTGCCTAGGATGCCACCATAGGCATCATCATCCCTGGACACTTGGGATCACAAGATACTCATGTCATACCATGGACCCTTAAATCTTCCACAGCTGCCAAGAAGGGTCTCTATTTGACCTTATGCCTATGCCTGAATCTATCAAGACCCACAATTCCAAGGCAGAAATACCTCATTGCCCATGGTTGGATCACAAACCCAAGTGCTAGCTGCCAGCAAGAGAAGAGGGAGAATCCACTGCCCCTTTGGCTTCCACAGGGGAAAGCAGAGCCTCCCATCTACCCTGAGTCCTCTACAGGAGCAATGTTCGGAGAATGACTGTATTGACCCCCTCTGGATCACACAACCAAAGAACACACTGAAGAAATGCTAAGAACCAAAAATTAAAACTCCCTTAATTCTGAACTTGACCAGAGAGAGAGACAAACAACCCCCTTCAAGACCCATCCCTGAGAACTAGACAAAGGAAGCGATTGGCAGAGCTCTTTAGCTCTTGCTTAGTATCTGTGTCTCTCTGGAATCAGAGAGAAAGCTAATAGCTACCACTGACTGAGAGCTTTCTGTGTGCCAGGCCCTGTTTGTTCTAAGCACTTCATAGGTAGTAACTCCTTGAATACTGTACTCACCTCAAGCACTGGGGGTAGGTAATATTATGATCTCCATTTTACAGATGAAGAAAACTAGACAGAAAGTGATAGAGCCAGCATATAATCTAAGGTAGGAAGAGCATACTCTGAACACCCTGCTGGCTGCCTGACGCCCTAAAGGCTGCCTTAATACTAATGCAGGGAGGGAGCTTGAATGCATCATGTCCTTTTAGTCAGCTCAAAACACAAGCTGAAGGTCAAACCCTTGTTTTGTATTCTGCCTTTACCAGCTGACAAGTTTACTTACAATAACAAACACCATCATTCTACATTCAGTTCAGCCTCAGCTTGTCATAAACATGAGCACCAGGCAAGCAGGGGGCGGCTTCATGAGACAGGTTACTGAGCTCCTCTATGGACCCGGCACTGAGTTCAGAACTATCTTCACACGGGGGCCCCACAAACACGGCCCCTTCCTTTTCAAACAGGAGTTTGAAAAGTAAATTATTTACTATATTATATGCAAAGTACGGCAAGTGCTGTGGAGGAAATGAACAGAATGATATGAGAGATTAAAAGGGGGATAATTCAGTGTGCTGGAACAGAGACTGCAGAGGAAGTGAGAATCAAGCTAATCCTTAAGGGCAAGATTCAGGCATAAGGACCAGCAGATGCAAAGCCCTGGGCTCGAGGGGAGGATCTGATAAAAAGCCTGTCTCTCACCACCTCACACCCACTAAGATGCTTACCATTCATTACACAACAAAAACAAACAGAAAATCACAAGTGCTGGTGAGGATGTGGAGAAACTGGAACTTGTGCACTGCTAGTAGAGTGTAAAGTGACGCAGCCACCATGGAAAAGTTTGGTGGCTACTCAAAAGGTTAAACATAGAATTACCATTCGACCCATCAATTTCACTTCTAGGTACATACCCTGTAGGGGTTCAGAAGGAGTCTCCCCAGAATGTGCCACCCTGGGCTGCAGATTAATTTCAGCNAAGATACTTACCATTCATTACACAACAAAAACAAACAGAAAATCACAAGTGCTGGTGAGGATGTGGAGAAACTGGAACTTGTGCACTGCTAGTAGAGTGTAAAGTGACGCAGCCACCATGGAAAAGTTTGGTGGCTACTCAAAAGGTTAAACATAGAATTACCATTCGACCCATCAATTTCACTTCTAGGTANTAGAGTGTAAAGTGACGCAGCCACCA